ATAATAATAATGGGAAGACTTCTTAAAAGATCCTCAAGGAATAGTAATAAAACAGAAATAATCTATACTTCACCACAAAGAAAATCCGAAGAAGAAGAAACTCAAACGCCAGCGACAATCACTGGCGATACCTCTGATAGTGAGAGTGATAATGGTGTAGAAACGGCTAATGAGGAACATGTTGAGTCTGATGAACGGATAAATAATGAAACCGTTCTTAATAAATCTGATATAAATTTGCTTGTTATGAATAATGGTGTGTGATCATTATATTTATAAAATTTCATCTATTACTTTCAATTCTAAAGCAAATATCTTCTCTCATTTCTTACTGATTTGATCATGTTAGAAGAGCAATTACTCCGAGCAATAGTTGTAGAATCCGATGATCATTCCTTGGCGCTGTCACTTGACATGGAATGTACTTCACAATCCTTGGTTGTTAATGCGACCGTTAAAAGCGTTACGATCACACTAACACCAACACAAAAACATGTGCGTATAAGTGTTCTGCATAATAATCAGAGACGGGTAAAGCCTTATATGTCTGCAGAGTCTAATAGTGTACCTGTAGCAACACACACTTATGTTGTATCATTGAGGGATGGACTAAATTTAATTGACGTTTGGGTTAGTCCTCCTAAAGATAATGATTACCGAAAGGAGAAAAGACCAACGAGGAAGAGTAGAAGATTAGCAAATGAAGAGGAGACTAACAATGGCCGAGATAGTGAGTTAAGGGCTGTTGATAAAGGAAAAATGAAAGAATATGTTGAAAGAGAAGAAGGTACTGATAATGAAGTAATGAATTCGGAAATGATACAATCTGACGAAGATTTTAATATGAACTATGGACAAAAATATACACTGTTCGTCACTAGATTAGAAATGAACGTTGCCAGATAATATGTTATTTTTGATTTTGATAAGTAATTTTTAAATGTCAAACATTTATACCAAATAAAACTTTTATTCGGCTAAGTTTTTGATCTTGCGCTTAAAGGATTAACAATTTTTATGTTATATATAGTAATTAGAATTGCTCATCATAACATAATCCTCAAAATATTACAACTATTATATAATTTTTATTCATTTGATATACCGCAGTATGATCAAGCATCGGGAAGAATTTCTACCTCAGGTTTATTTTGTTCAACAATTGGTTGCGGTTTATTAAACAAAACATTTTTAAGAACTTGAGAAATCAAACCATGTGCTGCTTCAACAGTGATTTTTGTGCTAAATTAAACAAATCTATATTAATCACTATGTTAATTAAAAAATATGAGAATAAATTAAATCTATAATACATACCTATCCTTTGTAACCTTACTGAGTGGACTTTCTTCCACTCTTTTCTTTTCAGGCGGGGGAGCTGTTGTTGCAGCGCCACCTCCGGCTGCAGATGAACCTCCAACACTTTGCGATGAGGCAACATTACCGCGACTTCCCCCCATACCACCAGGAAAACTTGACACTCTGCCACTCTGCTGCAATTGCGTCTCGGCCTGATCCAGTTTTTCTGCGAGATCTGCTATTTGTTCAGCCGAATAATCGCGATTCTTAATAATAAAAATAAAGCCAATAAGTATAATATAATAATTTAACTATAAGTCATATATTTAACATATACCGTGATTAGAGAAGATTGCGATAGCGTGTTAACCCAATACTTATGCCAAAGTAATTCTAACAAATGTGTATCAAGAGTGGACTTGAAATGTGATATTTCAAGCTGATAATATCTAGGTAAATTGTACAAAGGTTTTAATACATAACGAATTACTAGTTTTTGAAATGTACGTGTATTAAAGCTATTCACCAACATACTGTTTACAATGAACACCAAAATCTTCGATTTTACTAAGTGGAATAGTTTGGTATTCAGAGGGACCATCATCCGGTGCTTTGTAACCCTAAAAAATTGAAGGTTAAACAATTGAATGTTTAACAAATGGATGATTTACATTTATTATTCAACTTTTTATTTATATAACCTACAGCAGGATAAGTCCTAAACGCGCCAATTTCCACTTTTCCTGCAGATACTGTTCGATTAGGATCAATCTACATAGGTTGAATAGATACAACAGAATTAAACGCTGTAATTCAAATTAATGTCAATAAGATAAAATTTTTTTAGCTTACAACAACGGCAACAAAGGGGTCCTGATATTGTTGATTCGTCATTTGTGTGTTCACATCAATACCAGAAAGCCAACATCCATAACCCGGATGACTATGATACCACCCTACTATGTTTTCAAGTCTTCCCACCTAATACAAAGAATGGAATTAGCAAAGGTTTATAACTCAATAGTTGACAAATTGAGGCTTAATTAGGACGGACCTGTCTTATAGTTGTTAAATATTGAACCATATATTCATACGCTTCAGCTTGTGCGTTCACTCTTGTTTCAGTTCCTTCAACCGGCAAAGCAAATGCATCCATAATAATCATAGTGTTACCATCGATTTTTCCTTGCATAAGGCCCATCACTTCAATACTTCCACCGGAGCGGGCGTGCATAACCTATTAAACGAGAATCATTCATAATTAGCAGAAAATAATTGGAATATCTACTTGTCATGCAAGTTGATCCAAGTTGATCCGTACCATTTTTATAAGAGCAACTGCGGATATTTTGACTTTAGTGAAATAATGAACACTATACATTGTTATAAGATTGAATTACGTGAGTGCATAACGAACTGGCCAAATGTTAATTCTGAAACTTTATGCTAAGTATTTTTTTAGACGTTCTCTGAAATCCTTTCCACATTTAGTATGTTTCTTTAATTCAAATACAAACTAAGTAACAACATACTCTTTCGTCCATGGCTTTTCTTGATTTATTTGCGATTGCTCTTCAGTGTTGTACCGATAAATAAGATCCTGGGCAGGATCTACTGTTACTATATTGTTAGAAAACTCGAAAGTCTTACGGGCAATATCAGAGTCCATTGGAAGTTGATTTGATAATAGGCAATCTTGAATTTATTGGATTGAAGCTTCCTTTTTTTGCCTGTGTGACAGTTTATCAGCAATTAATTTTATTGGTCTAGGGATGTAAGTCACGTGATTTGGTTTTTTGGTGAACGAATATGCATTTTTAGGATTGATTATAATCTAGGTAAGAATCGGACTGTCCATTCAAAATATACAACACTAGCTAACTTAAGCAGGTTGGAGGTGGATCATGAGATATAAGTATTTTAGTTTTTATACGTATAGAGAAAATATACTATAGTTATAAAAACTAAAATACTTATGCCTCGCGCATTTACTAATTTCTCCCCACAGTTGTGATATTGAGCCAATCAGGATGCAAGATCAGGTGTAACGTGACAATCAAA